CACAGGGCGCTGTGGCAGGTCCAGCTCTCAGGCTCTCAGGGCTCTCAGGCTCTCAGGGCAGGCTCAACCGTGTAGTACAGGTATCGGGCCCACTCATTGTTGTGGCCCAGGCTCGGAAACACAGACTTGGACACGAGTTTCTCGGGCCTGGTCGTAACAGGTTGAAGTGCAGGTAGTTCCTCAGCAGCAGTGAGCAGGACGGCCCTGACCGTCGGCATCGTGACGCAGAGTCGCTGTACGCAGGCGAGTGTGAGAAAGCTGAACAATGAGAGGACGGAGAGAGTGTGTGAGTGTGATGAGAGGAGTGAGTGAAGTGAGTGTGAGTGAGTGAGTGAGTGTGAGTGTGTGAGTGAGTGAGAGTGTGATGATGTGAGTGTGAGTGTGAGTGGTGAGTGGAGTGTGATGAGTGAGTGTGTGAGTGAGTGTGTGAGTTGTGTGAGTGAGTGACTGAGAGTGGAGTGAGTGAGTGTGTGGAGTGTGTGAGTGTGAGTGAGTGAGTGAGGTGAGTGTGTGAGTGAGTGTGTGGAGTTGGGAGTGTGTGAGTGAGTTGTGGAGTGTGTGAGTGAGTGAGTGAGTGAGTGTGTGAGTGAGTGAGTGTGTGAGTGTGAGTGAGTGGTAGTGTGTGAGTGTCGAATGTGAGTGTGTGAGTTGTGAGTGTGTGATTTGAGGTGTGTGAGTGAGTGATGAGTGTGTGATGAGTGAGTGAGTGTGTGAGTGTGGAGTGACGTGGAGTGTGTGAGGGAGTGAGTGAAGTGTGGAGTCGTTGAGTGTGTGAGAGTGGACGGTGTTGAGAGTGAGTGAGTGTGTGAGTGTGAGTGATGAGTGTGTGAGTGAGTGAGTGAAGTGTGTGAGTGTGAGTGAGTGGAGTGAGTGGTGTGAGGTGGAGTGTGAGTGAGTGAGTGAGTGACGTGAGCTGATGTGTGATGTGACGTGAGTGAGTGACGTGAGGTGTGAGTGAGTGAGTGTGTGAGTGAGTGAGTGAGTGAGTGGAGTGAGTGTGTGGATGAGTGAAGAGTGTGAGTGTGAGTGAGGTGAGTCGTGTTGAGTGTGTGAGTGAGAGTGAGTATCTCTCAGATAACATCTCTCTCTCTCTCTGCAAAATGGGGAAACGGGGAAAACCGCAGTATGAACCGAACCGTGGATTTGGTGAATCGTTACACCCCTAGTTGACAAAATGCAGATTCACTAGTTATTACAATTAGCAAAGAGCAGTGTACAAAACATTCAGGTAGCAATTTCTCATTTATAGTCGGTGGTGCTTACAAAATGACATGCGTCCGCAGCGGTAGGTCATGGCAATTATCTGATATGCAGTGCTTGTTCTCTGAAAGCTGGTGTGTTTTGTGAGGGAAGAAGCTCTGTGACACCAGTGAAGAATGTGGAGTGGACTCAGTATTTCTGTAGTTCTACCAAATCCAGCCGAGTGATACATCTTGCTCCTAGTGGATCATGTTCAGGTGTCAAATTCTCCCAGTTAAACTTTTATTCATATCACACAATGATGTAAGCTCATAGACTTAGTATATCTGAACCAGAACCTCAAGTATTTGGATCAACAAACCCAAATTTAGCTGCCTGCAGCTGTTATTTCAATATGTCAGATCCATATTTAATCAGCATTTACGTAAACATAAGTATCAGACTCAGTATCGGCGGGGACGCAGTGTTAAAGGACTCAGATATGGCAAAAAAAAAAACTTCAGAGGACATCCCTAATCTTTAAAACACACTTGCTATACTACTACTGTATCCCACGGTCAGATTTAATTACTCAGTGGAAAGAAATTAAACCATCAGCCACAAACTCTTACTGTATTTTACCAGTGACCAGTAAGAAATCAAGTGCAGACCCCCTCTCACCTGCAGGTTGTCCGAAGCTGAATCCTGTAGATGAGGATGTGGTGGTATTACTCCCAAACACAGACCCTTGCCCGAACCCAGAGCTCTGGCCAAATGCTGGTGCTGTGCTTTGCCCAAACAGCCCTGAGCCAGTGCTGCTGGCTGTGTTGGCACTGCTCGTGCCGAAGGAGAAGGAACTGGCATTGCTAGCAGTAGAAGCACCAAAAAGACCTCCTCCAGTAGTCGCACTGTTAGAAGTTGCTCCAAATGTTGACTGGCCAAAAGAGAAGCCACTCGCTGTTCCAGTGTTGCCGGCAGGCTGGCCAAAGCCACTCACCTGGCCAAATACGGACTTGCCAAAACCAGTTCCAGTTGATGTACCGAACCCAGCTGAGCCAAATGTAGTCGATACTGGGGCTGCGGGGGCTGCGGGGGCTGAAGGAGCGGAGGACGCTGGAGGTGCAGCCGGTTGCCCAAACACACTAGCGGCAGTAGTAGTAGTGTTAGCAACAGTAGGGGTAGGAGTGGTGGCTGCAGGCACAGCTGTGCAGATAACTGGTGTAATTCCAAGGGAACTGCTGTCTGTTATTAAAAGGGCAGGCTGAGTAAAAATGGAACCGGGTTTGTCAGAACTGGGCACCTGGAATGCTGCTGGAGCTACCTGAGAGACGGGTACTACAGCAGGGGTGGCAGCAGCTGAAGTGGGCGCAGGAACAGCGGTGGTGGTGCTGTCTGGGGTGAGATCAAATGTGGGAGCCGCACTGGCTGGTGTTGGAGGGGTCGCTTCAGTTGGGGCGGTGATGGAGGTGGGAGGGTTTGGGGTAGGGGCAGCTATGGCCAAAGGAGGTGTGGATATTGGTGCTGTAACTGTGGCTGCTGTGGTTTCTGTGGCGGCAGAATCCCCTGCGGACTCAGGTATTGCTAGAGGAGTGGTGCTCTCTACACGTGGTTCAGTAGCAGGTTCTTTTTCAGGAGGTGGTGAGGGTTCGGAAGGTTGTGGGGGCACTTTTGGTTCCTCTGATGAGTCTGAAGAAGCTCCGAGAAGACTACTGAAATATGTAGGTAATGTTGGGGCAATTGAGCTAGATTGGGGAACAGAGACGGCAGGCTTGGGATTTGATTCAGGAGGCTTGAACAAACTGCCCGACACTGCACCTTTGGACAAGTCTGCTACTGTAGAATCTTCTGCAGACTTTTGGAGTATTGCACCAAAGCTAAACTGTGCTGCTCCTTTGCCCGTACCAAGTCCAGTTTCCCCAAAGGCAAATGAAGAAGCAGCAGGTTTGATGGATGAATCTTTAGCTTCTTCTCCTTGGCCCACACGTAGTCCAGAGAAAATGCCCAGAGTTTCTCCTCCAACAGTCTTAGGGGGCTGTGGCTCTAACCTAAGGGCAGTCGTGGTGGAGGTGAGCTTGTCTCCTGATGTGCTTGGAGGAAGGGTGGGAGACCCAGAGCCAAGAGCAGTGGAGAATGAATCCTCTCCAGTCTGGCCAAACATCATCTTGCCATTTCCACCAAAGGCGAATTTATTCACATCCTTCACTGGAGAAATAAAAGGACAAAGAACATATCAGAATATCACAGAAGGTGTGTATGTTTGACAACATCCTCCGCCAATCTGATACCAAGCTGCTCTATTGTTTTTACCTTGTGATATTCCAGCTCCCTGTGTAACTGAAGCAAAACTGAAGCCCGAAGACCTGCAAAAGAACATTCAAGTCAAAATGAAACAACAGTGAGAGCATCTTAAGCTTCTGTAATGTGACAAATCTCAGAGCGTTGTTAGATTATGAGTCAGGGGTAGAGAGAGAAATGAATAAAATAGACCACAACCACTCTTACACAAGCCAATGGTGCTTTTTTTATATGATGGGATGTGTTTTTGGTTGGTTGCCCCAAATTACATTTGAATGGACAAATACATTGATATATACACCACCAAGTGCAGGATGACTCATCAAAAATGTTTCAACCTTTTATAGGAAAAGAGAGGGATTTTGATTTGATCTTAACCATAATATACAAAATGTTAGTCGTTCTTTATATTTCAGAATGGTTCTTTAATTTTCATAAGTTTACTCACCCTGATGTGAAGGAAAAACCTTTGCTGGTAATTTGCTCTGCTGAGCTAGCAGAAGCCACAGAAACATCTGGTTTGGGTGACTGACCTGAAGGACAAAAAAAACAAAACAAAAAAAACCAAACAAAATGTGTCAAGATAAAATGTCAGGATTTGGATATGGTCAAGAATCATAAGCAATGTTCTGCACTGCCATTTTGTTTGTGTGTAACCAAATCTGAGCAATAGGTGGAAACATATTTATGCACATATACATAACCAGTGCTTACCAAACACGAAGCTTCCCTGTGTGGTGGTTGTATTTTCAGAGGACATCTTCTGGATACCTTGGGCAGGATTCTGCACAGACAGTTTTAAATAGGCAGCGGCTATTATAACTTAATTATGCAAAGTCTTAACAGAGAAAAACACTGTTTATTTATCATGTGTATTACAAAAGAAATCATTATGCAGCTTCCTTTGAAAACACTGCTAGTGGTTACAGTGCAGGTGCAGTAAACTGTAATCTTAACGCAGTGGTAGAGAAAAAGCAAGTGTGTGTACACACACACGTGGCTGGAGATCAGTATGTTCAGGTCAGTTCCAATAAAATGAACTTGGGCCTGAACAGTGACGAAGATTTGGGTGAGGAGTTCCCCTGTCACCCAACTGCAATTTATAACATCAACATAGGAGGGAGCTGGGACATTTCTCACCCATGCAGTTAATGGTTCGTCTCCACACGCAAAGCTGTCAGCATTCTGTGAATTTCCGCAAGTTGAATGTTTTTTAAAGTTGCGAAGAGAGGGACACGAACACTAAATTTGCTTGATTTTAAGAACCACCATTGCAACTCTATTTGAAATCTCAGAATGCCAATGTATTCATATTTCTCTCAACTAATGAATCTGTTTATCAGAGAAGCAGATCAGGTGTTTTTTAAGCGTAGACTAAGTGGTTGGGCGTAGCTGATAGGGGCAAAAAAATGATATAGATTAATCTATTTTGACATGGCGGACATTCTTTCTTCTTTTCCTGCACTTTGTAAAAATAGGAGTTGTGAGCAAGTAAAGATGCTTGATTGATTTTACAAACTATTTAAAGGATAACATGTCACTTAAGCGATAGTTATTGAGACATAGCTGTGTGGATGAACAAATAAGTGAAAAGATGAGAGCTTGTTGTGATGGAGACAGATATGGTACGTACTCGTTTGGCCTGGTTGGAAGAAACGGCAAAGACTGGACCTGCTTGATCTGGCACTGATGAACTGGGAAAGAGAGCAGAAGAGGGAGAGGAGAGTGTTTTTAATCCGCCTACACAAACAAATATAACAAACATGTCACATTTTAGTGAATGAGGGGTTCATGTTTAATGAAATTAGGTGTCCATGCACGCGTCGTGCTACCAAATATTTTCTTTGTGTAGAGCTGGATAAGCAGCATACATTTTTGAACATTTTAAAATCTTGTTTGACAAAAAGAAAATATACAAACTGGTTATCTGTATTGAGCTGGGAATCGTTTGAAGAAATGTCTGCACTGTGACCGTTTGACAGTGATAAAAGTATGTTAGTGCGGAATCTGGGAAAAGCCCGCTTTCGTAATCATCTTACTCCCACAATGCCTTGCTTTGCTGGTTTGTTATTGTGAGCAGGCTTTATTTGAGAATAGCCCCAAGGAGGGATGCCGAAATATCAAGCACAAAAGTGGAGCACAGTCCAGTGAGGCAGAAAGGGTAAGGTGCAGGAGGCAGGAAGGGGCATAACAGGAGTGTGTGAATCATGGAGGGAATAAAGAGCCCAATAAAAAGACATGAAGAACAGGAAGTAAAGATGATAATGATATGAAAAGAGACAATATTTTGCCCCATTCTCCAGCATACCGGTTTTTAAACATCACAGTCATTGTTTCATTTAAAACCCAGTGTGCTGGTGTAGAGCCACAACAATAAAACACAGATCATAGCTGTAATACTGAACAGAATGGACTGTATATGGCATGGACGTAATCATACACAATACATTAACATAAAGTAGGTTTAAAAAAAGGGAAGGAAATAAGAATATAGAGATGTAATGCTTGAAAAAAACATGCTGGGATGCAAATGTAAGACATCCTTAAAGGCTGCTGGCCTCTGCCAGTCGTGTGGATTGGTTAATATTAGGCAGAGTCAGTGACCTGATAAATCTATACAGAGGAGACACTCAAAACAAACACTGGAGCCCTGGAGGATTCATAGTGGCAGACTGTCTACTCACTGTATTAGAAATAGATCCAAGTGGGGGCAGGCATGATGTAATTCCATAAATATTATATAATATATAACATGTTTAATATATATAGATAGATAATATATGTAGGATAGATTAGATATATAAGAAAATAAATAAAAAATGTATTAACACCAATAAGAAATAAAATGGGAAATGGCAAAATGCTAAATATCTTTATCTGCCAGGTAAATTAAATGTGACCTGTACCAAAAGGACTCCATTCATATTCAAAGTGAACTGCATGAAAACCAAAGCAAATCTATGTACAATGACTCAGGGGCTAACAGCGAAAATGTGTCATCAGCCAGTGCCTACAAACACTAAAATATTGCAGAATTGTTACAGCTATTCTGCAAAATAATACAATGAAATAGTATAATCCTAGTACCAGTTTTCTGTATTGCTTAGAAATTACATTAGGTTTAGTGATATCAATACCATTGTATAAAAGCCATATCCAGAGCAGAAAACTAAATTCATAAAAAAAAAAAGAATGATGAGAATTGTGTGCTGAATGCATACTGTGTCTGCATACTGTGTCTGCCATTATATGTTTTCTGAGGCAGATTACACATAGCTAGCTATCACTGAAGATGTCTCTCTCCCTCTCCCACAAATAAAGACTCTACTCACTTCTCTCTGGAAAAGGTCTAACTACAGGAATTTCATAACATAATTAACTCAAAAAAAGTTTTCTACATCATTTTTGGATTTTACCTGATTATACTGGGAACTGGCACAGGAGGCCCTTTGTCCTTGAGCTCCTGGACATTGACCACCTGAGGAACAGTCTTCAAAGTCGACTCTGTCAAGGAAGTACTGACAACAGCTGGAACACACACCAACGCATATGTGAGCAATTCACACACAGAGATGAAATACACACCAATGTTTGTATTAAAAAAGGAACATACCAGACAGGTGTATTTAAATGAATTGAATGTTTCCATGGTGATTTGAGCCTGGTTTGAATTATACTGAAACTATCAGTTTAGTATGCGAGTCTCGAATATGAAGGGGCACTGAGCTGGGACATAAGGCTACCTGTATTACATTATTTGGTCTGGAAGTCTGTGTCTCCCCCTGGTGAATTACAGTGGGTATGGCAATACAATATTATAACCAGCTTCTTATACACAGTGTTGCCCATAACAACTTAACACATCTCCACTACCATTTAAAAGTAAACAAATAAATAATTATTTTTAATTGCAGTCAAAGGCTGGTGACTTTTGCTTGTTCTTCCTACCCGTCTTCTGATTGGCCATCTGTCTGCGTAGAGCCGCAGTGCCCGCAGCCTGCTGTGCAGGGACGGTGACAGGTATGGTCCTCTCAGTCGGTGGGGCTCCATGTTTTACTGTCTTTGTGGCAAGAGCAGTGCTATCAGCCCCGCTGAGGTTGATCTTATTGGTAGGAACTGAAATATCAATACAGTGAGCAACATTTATGAAACAAAGTATGTCTACTGGGGTTTAGCACTTTGTGTTTCATTTGGCATTTAAAAGCAGTTATCTTGTGGCTTTGAATGCCAAACAACTGAACGTTGCATCGAATAGTTTATACGATTTACTCACCAGGGTTGACAATAGGGCTGAGTCCAAAGCCCATACCCGGTACTGAGTGAATTTTGGTTAAAGGGGTGGACTGGATGGCCCCAAAGCCAGGCTGGATAGAAGGGGTCCTCACGACTGTAGGGTGGCGGGGGGTAGACAATGCTTGAGGAATGACAGTCACTGGAACAGGTTCTGGCTGTAGTTCCTCCTCCTCCAGCTCCAAGTGAACCGGGTGAGGCTCCAGGGACTGGGACAGGGAGGACGTGGAGCTCACATCATCCAAGTCTTCATAGTATTTAGGTGAAAGGAAGGCTGAGCGAGACAGGTTGGCTGGAAGAGAGTAGATGAAGAACATTTAAATCACCATTACATGTGGCATAGCTTCTTTTTTTATTAATCTCTTTTTTTTACTATTATTGGATTCCCTTTGAGAGTTTATGGTAAAAGCTAAACTACATTTGTAAACTTTCATGCAACCACAAATTTCTTGTCATTAAACCAAATTTAAACAAGAAAAATCAATAGGTTTCCACCTCCTAATATTAGAGTAATCCCTGTTAAATTAGTTTGAGCAGGATATGTGTACCTGGTGCAGTAGAGCGGACAGGAGGCATCTGTCCCTTTGAGAGGAAATTTCGCAACTGGGACTGTTTCACTGGGGATATCTTAGCTGCTGGAGAAACATCTATAGTTAGCATAGAATTAAGAAACATGATATCCTTTATTATTTTCTACCATAAATATATGAAGATTGATACCTGGAGATTTGGATTTGGCCATAGGAGGGCTGGAGTCCAGCCTGGCCTTGAGGAGTGTGTCACGTAAGCTTTCAAGCTCGCTTTCCAAACTGTCATAAAACACAGACATAAGTTGTTCAAATAGCAAACTAGAAAACCTTCGCCGAAAGCCATTTGTACCGATGCACAAGTTAGAAATGAATGTTAATATCATATAAAGGCTGCTACACTGAAAGAAATGAGTGCAATCAGTGTCTTATTTATGGACTGCAGTCATTATATTGTTAGTTATTATGCTACGCCATTTAATTTTTCAAAAACTGCTCTAGATTCATTTTGTAGCCTATTTAAGTCAAGGTTAACTTGAAATATGAAGTCTCTGATTCCCAAACCAACTCGGCAGTCTCCCTTCTCAAAACAAAGTGAAAATCTACAAAATGTAATACTCATTTAAAGTTTTTTCACATTCTAATCGACTTTCTTTGCCAGCTCCTACCCAGAAGTTGGTGCTGTAGCAGTACTGCGGTTTATAGTTGGAGCAGCAGTCTTGTTGTAGAGGCGCAGTGAAGTGAGTTCCTTAACCAACTGGTCCAATCTGTTCTTCTGCTGGTTGATAATGCACAGGTTGTTGGCCAGTGTGGTGAACAAACCCTCACGCCCTGGCACGACCATGTGTCTGCGAAGAAGATAATTATTTCAAATGATACTTAAAGCCAAATATTTTCTGTATCAAATACTCCCATAGCTGGTCTTTTGTGCTTACTTCAGCTTTTTCTTCTTCTCCAGGTGTTTCTCCCATTCCACATCCAACACATCATTGACATCCTCCACAGCAAATGTAACATACTGGTACAGCCTGCGAATCTCCTGAATAAAAAGGAAAAATTAAAAAGGATTGACAAAATGCTATGAGTATGCAGGCGATTCATGTAAAGGCTTGAGAAAGTATCCATTCATGCAAACATCATTTATCTTCCTCCTGCTTTTCACCTTGAGCTGTTCCTCACTGCGTGGATCCAGAGGTTTCTTGTACAGCAGCTGTCTGTAATTTCTGTCTCTGCCCAGCTCACTCTGGGCTTTGGCTTCTTCTGCCCCAGCAAAGCCCTCCAGCAAGGTGGTCTTTAGTGTACCAATATCTCCATGGAGAGACTGTGAATCATAAAAAAAAAGTTTGAAAGAGAATAGTAATGCTATAATAATAATTGTCCCCCTTAGTCACAAGAAGGGAAGATGGCACACATGCTGGTGTTTTTGTTTATCATAACACTGTACATTTATGACAGTGATTTTGTTAAGACCATTGCATTCAGTCAGCCCAAGCAGTATTTCAAAGTGTTTTTGTTTATCATTGTCTTACCTCAGTAGTTTCCTTGATCTCCAGGGTGAAAATATGGAGGTCCTCCGACTCCTTCCTCAACTCCTTCATCTCATCATTGGTGCCAACCTTGAAGTCTGCTCTTGCGCTTCGTGCTTTAAGGTCATCTAACTCCTTCTGGAAGTGGGCAATCTAAAGACGCGCCAAAGACATGCTTAGTTATTTGTAAATCCTTCAAATCTCCACTTAGTAAACACTTGCGTTATAACTAGCCTTGAAGATTTATGTAAAACCTGGAAACAAGGAAACCTACAGTGTATTCGTCATGAGCATCCAGTTAGCATTTTGCCTTATTTGGTTTGAGCTATGAGGCTCTCAATTTTTCACAACATCACCAATTAAAAGTGGTACAAAGGTACTCCAGTGGTGTCTGGATGATGTGTCTCACCTCCTCCAGTATACCAGCCATAATGGGATCAGAGTCTTTCTTTTGCTGTAGCTGCTTCTCCAGGGCCTTCACACTAACAGCTGCCTGTATCGAGAAGTGGTAAAGTAAGAAACAGTCACAGACAAATACACACAACCTTGATGAAAGTTTGGACCAAAAAAAAAAAAAAAAGAAAGAATTTCTGTATTCTAATGCTAATATAACACTGCACTTTTCTTCTGCCACCAACAGTTGGTTTTAGTTCAACATTCTGTTGCTAGTAGCAACAACTACCAGCACAGTTCCGTAGCAGTTGCAATTCAACTGACATTCCACCATTTTGTTAGATCTGTTACCAAATGTTGCATCTTCTTTTTTTTCTCCCCGAGTGCCCTTGTTGAAGTATTGTCAACTCTTTTTATCATTCAGCTGTTCTGGCATTTGTTACTTTTTCTGTGATCAGTTTACTGCTTACAAAGCTAACCAACGGGCTAACTGTTGATATTATGTATTGTATCCTTTTTACTTTTACTCTTGTGGACTGGATGTTTCCTAGATTAATTACTGTGGTGTACTTCCTATGGGGACTGAATGTTTTTTATTTACTTGTGATACACTGTTTCTTGATGCAGTGTGGAAGAATGTTGCTAATTTGACAGTTTTGGAAATCCAGTTTACTTATTACTGCAGCTAATCCATTCATATATTTAGTCTTTTTTTTTTAGCACACTGCATAGCTAACTGTGCACCAACATGCATATTTGGGCATATTTATCTATTTAACTTTAGTATTCTCCACACAAAATATTAAGCCAAAGTTGCATGAAAATGGGTTAAGATGATGAAACTGCAGAGTAGATAAAACAAATAGCAACACTGTCTTACTGAATATTGTTATGATCCTTAAAAATCTAGGGGAGGTTGAATGTACTAGGCTCTGTCCCTTCAGTGGTTCTCTGTGATTATAATGTGTTTATCTTTTGGCATATTGTAGAGCAAAACATCAACAAAACCAGACAGGACCTGTGGAGTTTGGACACGGCCCTGCACAGCAGGAGAAGGCTTCTGGATGACTGTGGGTGGTGTGCTGGTTTGAACTGGACGCACTGGGGCTGCAACACAACCAATAATAATAAAATCACAAGCCAAAGCATGAGCACAAGGTATAATAGTCAAGGAACTGAGGATTTTCCTACCTAATACAGCTGGTGGTTTAGTGGTTGAGAGCGAAGGGGCGGTCAAACTACTGGAATTTGAGACAGCTGTTTTGGCCAGCGGGGAAGTGAATGAGAAAGACTGTGGTGTTGGTGCTGGCGTCTCCAATGTTGAAAATCTTGGGAAAGAGTATTTGTGTATATTATGTGTATAAGAACTTTAATGTCTCAAATGATTGGTGAAAAACACTGATTTACCTCTCATTTAGATTCAGTTTCACTGTTGATGGGGAGGGAGCAGCCGGGTTCTGGGGTGCTGGAGCTGGAGCTGCCACTGGTGACGGTTTGATGGAAGGGGTGAAAGTAAACGCTGAAGGTGCTGAGGGAGTGACAGAGGGAGGTTTGGAGGTAAAGGGGAAGCCCGTGGACCCTGAGCCAAAAAGTGTGGATCCCGAGCCAAAAGATGTGGATCCCACCAGGGGGGAGGCTGAAGGGGCAGAGGTGGTGGATGTAGTTGGTACTGAGAAAGTAAAACCTGATGATGAAGATGACGACACAGGAGCTGTGGGAACCATGCTGAATGGGGCAGCAGAGGAAGAGGCAGCAGGGGCTGGAGTAAGACCGAGGTTTGAGAATGTTGCTGGCGCAGATGGGATGGAGGCAGCAATTTTGGGTAGTTGAGTCGCAAAAGAACCTGTGAACAGAAAAGAAATTTGCTGTCATTTGATCTCATCACATGCTAGGCAAGTTTTGTCTTCAAGCAAAGATTGCTAATTCTAGATGCAACTTGATTAGCCTTAGGAAAGAAGAGAACCATTTTTCATGGTTAGACGCTCACAGCCAAATTTCTGTCATACTTCAAAGGACTTTGCACAAATGTTATTGAGCCTCTTTCTGAATGAGTTTAGCTAAGCAAAAACACTGTTTTCATAGTTTCTTAAGCCCTATTCACACTGGACTAGTATTACCTGGGGACCTCTAGTAATTTGTAATAATTGCAGAGGTTGTCTGTGATCTTAATCCCGTGCGAATCTGCCATGTCCGTAATTTGTAAAGTAAAAATTCCACCGCAAATTACCTACCATATTTCGCCAAACACAGAGGTCCCGTGATAATATTAGTCCCGTGCGAATAGGGCTATAGAAAAGTAAACACCTTACAGTCTAGTCAAAGATCCCTACATGATCAATACAACTGGTCTCGTTCAACAAATGTTGGTGAATAGAAAGTGAAAAGTGACTGAACAACAAATGCTTAGTTATTTAAAAACTTCACAGCATTGCAACAAAGAAAAAATCTTTAAAACATCGTTAGCATTTATAAATATAATTTTGCCCTCAAAAACTTGAAACCTTTCTGCTTTCATCACCACTACTACTGAAATACAATTCAAAACTCTGTAGGCCCTATTTGATTATGCAAAAAACCTCCAACCTTCATAGGTGGATTTAAGTTAAGAACTAAAATTGTATGCAGAATTAGTCTTGTTCCTTTAAGACATGAGGGTAAGCTTAATAAGGGATGCATTTGGATGTGCTTGCTTGATTGACAGCTCTCTCAGATGACTAGGAATAATTGTGCAGCCCTCTAAACAACAACAACACTTTAGACTAAAACATACTGTATCTTGACCTCACTGGCTCTCTTACCTGGCTTGGGCAGTCTCTCCCCCTCCAAGCGGAGGGTAGTGGGGGCTGAGACCAGTTGCTTAACACCAGGGTTGAGGTTGAGCAGGGCAAATGGGCAGAGTAGTCCCTCCGTGGATAGCATCAGCATAGTGGGTGCTGGTGGCAAGGTCTTCTCATCCGCTTTGAGAGGGAGGAAAGATGGGGTACAGATAGAGGCAAAAGACATTCAGACAGAGAAATACTGTAGTCTGAATGATGTAGAGTAAAAGACATTTTGAACAATCTCTATAGCTGTGTGGTAGGAACTTTTGTCTTAAGTCTATTAATTTAGAGCCACACACATATTCAGAGTCTACATTATGCAGTAACAGACTTTGGTGAGAAATTATTTAGCTTTCTGCACAGCTTTGTTCTTCCAAATAACACCACTGCACAAGGGAGACAATTAACAGCAAGTGTCGTCTTCTCACTATGCTTGCTCTGTTCATGATGACAAAATGCTGTTTGTCATTTAAATCTTCAAAGTGTGGAAGGCATTTGAGCACAAAAGAATGCATGTACGTTAGTGCAGTACTTATCTCATTGACCTTGGCTCATTCCGCCCTCCAGTGGTTAAAATAAGTACCCAGTGTTTAGTTCAGAAAGGCACACTGTAGTCGTGCGGAGACAACTGTCTTAAGATGCCTCATTTGGTAAAACACAGTCCAGTGCGTTCTTCTTCCTGCCAAACACCCCAAACTCTTTCCTGCTCTTCACACCCACTTTCCTGCACTTTCCAAAATCACGCAGTGTGCTGTGGGCTGCATACAAAAATGGCAAATCTAGTCTCAACCAACATCTAAATGATGTATTCTCTCCCCAAATTAAAGATGCATTAGTCAGAGTTGATACTAGTCATTTCAGATACGTCAAATAAGCAAACCAAACACTTTGTCCCCTTTGTTCTCTCTACAGCTATGTCTCCTATCTAAAACTATTCCTCAAGTATAACTTTCACTGTCTCCAGGGGAAGACAGTAGTAGCTGCTCTTTCTCAGTACATTTCAGTGTTTGATTAATTACTACTGACTCACCTCTCTGATATATACTGCATTTTGCAACTACAGTATATTCCGCCCATGCACTGCATGTTTGCTTTTGACATTATGACAGTATATTAGCATCGGACTGACTGCGTAAATTCAAACCTATATCTAATAAAAACACATATAGTAAACACAGATTAGTATTATGTTTCAAGATATAAAGTGATCCTAAGTTCTTGTGCATTAAATAAGCACACAATACAAAGAACAAAATCTCGTGTTTAGTTTCATCAGTTAAGAAACTATAGTATGAAAGCAAGAGAAGCAAAGAGATAGAGGGTGACAGAGAGAGCGAACAGAAGGGAGAGGCACACGGTAAACCTCATCAGCATTCTGCAACAGGATTGTCTGGGCTTTGTTGTTTGTTGTGGTCCTCTAGCTTGTCTGAGCCATTTTAATGAGTGCATTTTTTCTCCACAGATAACTCTCTCGTTACTCTTCCTTCACTTTCCCTATCTAATGTCTCACTTCGGATAAAGGTTTTGATCAGACTACAATTATATCAAAATGTTGCTCAAATTGCAGGGGGGGTTTTTTCTTGCTGGGGAGGGAGTTCTTAGAGTGAACGGGGAGAGATGTGACTAGACAGCAACACCAGCTCTACGTGAATGTCTGGCAGACTAGGCCATTTAAGATAAAACAGTGTACTGAGACGGTAGCTTATCACTATTCTTTACACATGCTGCAATAGAGCACTGCAGTGGATCCTGTATGCACAAAGAAACCTGACAGATTTCAGCTTCATCTGATCATGAGGAGAGTGTTGGACATAAAATGTTTTGGAGCTTAAACAAAGACAATGAAATGCATTATAATAAACAATTACGATAACACCAACTATTATTAAATTCAGTACGTCAAGCTCCATCCTCTGCTCTTAAATATTCCAACAAACAACTTTGTGCCACAGAAAATCGTTTGCAAGAATCCAAAAAGACAAAGGGAGTTTTTTCAAAAAAACAGTGAAACATATATCCATTTCAGTATGAAATAATTCCAAGCATGAATGTTCATTAAAACAGGCTTTTCGGGGTGGGCGGTATCGCCGGTGGCAGATGGTGTACAAACCTGCCTAAACTGGTTTAATTTTCTCCTCACCGTCCATACTGCTATTTAACTATTTTCCCTGTGGGTTCAGTGAGCTTCAGTGCAGACATGCAACAACATTTATGATTAATAACGCTGTGAAAAGTGATATCCAAAAAACAAATAAATGGCAATTGCGAGTGGAAAAGATTGAATTTAATATCCTTTGACAACTGAAGTGGGAGATGCTGTCATTTCAGCTTGATTATGGCAGAGAGCATGCTGACAAATAGGGGCAATATGCCTAATATATTCTATCACAGTGTATGTGATTAATTGTGATAGTGATCATATAACAACTTGGATAGAGTACATTTTCTGAATTCAGAAACCAGGTGGCAGGGCCTGTTTTGGCGTATAACATGAATTAAATACATGCCAAACCTATGCGAAAATGGTATAGAAAACAATCTACCTCAGCTTTATAAAATAAATAAATGAACTGCACCAAAGTGACTGTACATTGGGGTGAGCATTGAGCCAACTTCTCTTTTTACTGGAGTTCTGGCAGATAGAACATCAGCATAACAATTCTGACAACAATACTGATTAAAACAACATAATTGCGATAAAAGGGCATTTTACCTTTGCTTAAATGCTTAAAAACTGTTTGAAGAAATCCCCCTAGAAAGGTATAGCCTAAATTTTTTAAGTGCTAAAAAATATATAAATATATATACACACACACCCACACACATTAATGTTAATTTGCTAATTGACAACAACGTAGCCACATTATGTAGATGTGCAAATTTGGTCAGAAAGGTGAAGAGAGAAAGTACAAAGAGTAGAAAGAAGAAATTCACTTACTGATGTGGATCTCCTGCTGGCTGGTATAGTCTATTGCTACACCGAGGGGAAGAGTGTCTTCATTTGTCTCGGTCACTGGAAGCTCAGCCCTACTCGCATCCTCCAGGATCCAAAGCTCCCAGATCTAAAAAAAAAAAAAAGAAGAAATAGACACCAATCTGTCTTGGTCATGACAGTCTACAGACATTTGGTGTGTTTTCCTCACACCATACACAAAGGATTCCAACTGTAAATTAAAGCTAAATAAATATGTCAAACAAACTTGAGTATCAGAACTGTATCAATTGTAGCTTTGATAAAACCAAGACCCAAGATAACGCTGTTTGTTTTGCAGTACAACACAGTAAATTAAACATTTCAGTACATTCACAGTTATGTGACCTTTTTATATTTCATCTCAAACATTCAAAATGTCATGTTTTTCTTTCAGAACTACACTGATGTCATGGTTAACTTTTCTAATGGAACTGAAGGTAATCCCTCAGAGTGAGACACATCTTTAATGTATATCTATATTAAAACCAGTGTGTCATTTAATGTAAAGATTTCTATAACATTTTCAGCTTTTCACTTAATTGAGTACCTTGTCATCTTGTCTGGCTATAACGCTGACTTCAATGGAAGCTGCTGATGCTGCAAACACAAGGTCCCTGGAATGAAATAAACAATGAGGCAACACGACACATTACATTAATTTCAAATGACATTAAAAAAGAACAAACTTAAGAGTTTGACGACATAAACAGTGCATTTAATCAACAGTGAACATGCTTTTGGATGCCTACAATACCATCCATGCCTGTACAATGTTAGCATTCTTACCAGTCCTCTATGTGGCTGAGGAAGTAGTGGTGTTGTCTCTCAGTGCAGCTGCCATATACTGTGTCACTAAAGTGCAGGTACTTTGTATCTACCCTCTCATCCTTCTTCTACAAAAAAAGAAACAAAAATCACACTTTGTCACACATTTGCTTAAGGTACATTAACAAGATGGAAAAACTGATGAAACTTCAGTATTGTGAAAGAATATTTAAGCATTTCACAAAAAGAATGCCACTACATAAACTGGTAAGTACTGTGTGTAAGTACTGTTCATATGTATTAACACATTGACATCTAACTTAGATTTAAAATATCATATTATGTGACACAGCTGGTTTGAACATGCACATGTGGGTTACGTTGTGACCCAAGTAGCTTTATGAAGCCAACAACTATAGCCTTATAGTGTATGGCTTTGTGGTCAGTCACATGAAGCATCCTGCTCAAATAAGAATAAATAAGAAGACACATGTCAGTAGCAGTTGGAGCCCCTATGTAATTACAGAGCCACTACACAAAAATGTAAAACACCACAGCGTTCAGCTCAAAAGCTGTAATACAAAAATGAAGGAGCATGTAATGCTAGATTAGTTGCTGCATTTGTTGTTGTGGCCATGTGGAGAAAACAGGTAATCAACAGGTAACATTCATGTGAATTTGAAAAGAATGATTATGATGATGAGCAAAATCCTAATGGATAAGGCGAATTCCGTGGACTACAGATGTAGGGCATACTCACAGGGAGGGAAACCAACACTAGATCAGGAGGGGTCTCAAGGGACCCATCAGCAGCAGCATACACCACTGCAAACACAAAGGTTCTCAGCCACAGCACATCCAGAACTGTGAGAGATAACAGGAAAGAGAGGCGTTAGCCACAAATGGGACTCAAACAGTAATGAAAGTCAAATGCAAGTAACTAAGAAAATGTAATATATTGTCATTATATGCTATTAATAACCCAGCCAAGTATATGGGGGTACAACACAGATCTCATTTCATTTTATAGGTACGGGATTCCCCTTACCTTTGACAGGTTCGTCAGAGGTGTAGAAGTGTGGACATGGGATAACTTTCTTTTCTTCTAGTGCCTTTTTAGCAGAGGAGAAAAACAGTTACTCATCTCATCATCATTGATTGCAGCCTCTCTTATGGGGCAATAAGTGTTTACATTTTAATGACAGTAAATTAGGTTCACTTACTGGGGTATACTGACTGACGGTGCCATTCATTTTTCCTGCAGCAACTTGTTTTCCTTTTGGACTCCAGCAAACTGTTTGAAACAAAATACATTAACTACAATTAAGCCCCTATAGAGATGTGGAGTGTAGGCAAACTCAGATATTATGTTTAGAGTCTCACTCACTGCATGTGATGCCACTTGAAGCAGGTAGCTCGGCCAGCACTCTGACACCATCAGCAGCCTCCAAAATCTGCATACTGCCATCGGACATACAGGCAGCCAACATGGAGGTCTGAGCAGGATTCCACTTCAGGTCGTGCACTAAAGTGCCAGAGGGTACTGGAGGCAGCAGCGACGCAAAAGGCAACTTTTGTGGTCTTGCCTGGAATGGTAAAGAAAAAATAAAATAAAATCAACTAGTCAAATGCATTTAATAATTAAATATACAGGCAAGTAATTAAACTGAAAATTGTGATTCTGGCTGATTTTTATTTCCATAAAATAACTAATATTAGTGGAAATGTACAAACAGTGTGTTTATAAAGGTCACAATAAAAAGGTAGATTAATTCAACTTTATGGTAAACTTAATTGCAAGCTAGTAAAAATGATTGCTGTATGACTTTTTTTCAAATTAGTTGCACCTGCTGCAGTTCATACTGGATAGCTCCAATTAAGAATATGGCACATTTTTATGAGAACAGATGAGTAATTTCCCTGTAGTCATTGTTTGTTTTTTTGGCCAGTCACCCTCATTGGACAATAATTTGGCACATTAATTACACCGAATAAAGTAGTCACCTTGTTCGCAAAGGTGCGGACATCATAGAACGTGAGGGACAAACCCGTCTCCTCAGACATGCCGCATACCGACAACGTAAGTTCATCACAACTGAGAGCCAAGTGGTGCAGAGCCAGTTCCACAGTCACCTCCGCCAGTGCTGGTACCCCCTCGACTTGAGCAAAGAGGACAATTGAAGTGAATTGTGAGAAACAGACAAGAATGGAAAGGAAGCCAACAATGTATTCTTAGTATCTGTGGACTACAGGACAATGTAGTGCAAAACTGAATGGACATACTCGACATATCAAACCTGTATGGTCATATTCATACCTACTACGTTGGAGGTGCCGTCCGCTTTATCAGCAGCCAGGATGTCTTGAGTTTGGTAAACTTTGAATGTTCTGTCCAGCCCAACAAAAGTTAAACCAAATTTGTTTGAGACGGAAAGCAGGCTTGATCTTTCTTTTGGCAAATCTTCAGCAGGCTCAAAAACTCTCGTTTTCTTCATCTGACGGAACTGAAAATCCTGAAAAAGACCAACAAACATTGCTTGTAACTTGAGGTGAATGTGAGTGGGGAAAATATATGGTTCTAGTTAAATAAACTCGCTGGACAGCATGGCTTACAGTATGACCTAACAGCCTTTAAACAACAATTGAATAGCTTTCAATTTGACTAATTTATTCACACCACAAGTACGCATAGGATGAAATGAAAGTTAAAACCTTGGACGGTGGCTAACATGCCGCGTTAGCTAATTGGTAACGTTATACAAAATGTATATTGTATTATTTAGACTTTAGACTTTATTCCACACACACACTAGACTGTAAATGTGCCTCACTAACTTCAAGTTAGCATTAAACTCTCAAGCAGCACATCTAATGCAGCGTCTATATGCTAATAGCTACCGTGCTTGCGCCAGATAAAAGTTTCTCTTCTCCTTTTTTTTCTCGTGAGACTTTTAACCCGAAGCCCCTAAGCAAAATGTTACCTAAGTGAACAGCATGGCTCTGTAAATGCCTTTGGGTTAGGGTTAACTAAACAGACACCTCAAACCCGACCACCTAGCTAACCAGCTAAGCTAGCCAGAACCATTAAAAGTGGATGGACGCAGCGCTAGCAAGCGTTAGCTCGCACATGCTAACCTGTCAACACAAGTTGGATAACAGATAACAAACCTTCATTTCCCTCTCGAGGGGGGAGTCTGTGTCGTCGCTCATGTTGAAGGACAGGAGCTGTAGCCTTTTCTAGCCGACGTGGGGTCTTTAGTTTATTCCTCTCTGGTCTGTATTTGAGACGAATAATCTGGTGAGACACATTCAGTCTGTCAGCACGGCGGACAACACGCCGCGCGATTTCACCAAAAAAAAGACGTCATAGTTACGTAGGATGACAAATAGATACCCGAGCACCACGGGGCCACAACACTGAACCTATACAATAACGTCCTTTACAAACTGGTACTGTGTATTTGGGAATAATTGAGGATTGAAAGATAAACACACACACACACAAAAAAAAAAAACATGTTAAGCTCCAAAGCATATTTAAAAAAATACACGATGGAGTATGAATGTGTGAAGAAATGGGCCTTCCATTTACCACTTCTCCAAAAACACCACTTACTCCTCACTCTACTTCTCCAATCCTGCTGGGATTAATGCCAGGCTAATAATAAACTAGGCCAGTGGCATAGCACAGGAATTCTGGACTCTGTACATAGCCCCATCCACAGCTATTCATTTCAGTATCTTTGTGGGCCCTCCTCTTCCTCAGTCCATTTTCACCCCTGAACACGGCAGAGGACTTTACAATGAAACTGTCGGAGTCAGAATCAGAAATATTTTATTATATATTATATGTTTATTATTATTATTATAGTACATTATTATATATGTAACACAATATATATAGAATAGAAATGTATATATATACATATAAGTAAAAAATTAAAAATAAAAATGGAAAAATAATAAGAGCCTAAAATACGACAGGAGCAACTGTAAGAGTGCAGTCTTATAGAATATAACAAATAAAGCTGATAACTATAAAATATATTTGTGATGTTTGATAAATGCTACCATTCATCCCCATCCCCCTATTAATAATTTACAAATCACCTATTAATATCAATGTACTGTTCTGTGCAAATAAAAATTTATCTAAATGTAGGATAATTCTGGTATCACTAAAGGTGTAGTGTCACTTTTTTTAATCATTCAACATTTATATTAGAGTACTTTCATGAGATCATTAATGAAGGACAAAGATGCCTTTACTTCTGTATGTTTTGTAAGGTGAGTGTATTCTTTCATTGTTTTCTATATTTCTTCTTAGAGACCCGTATTGAACACAAACTTTTCACACTAAAGTAATATGGATTGATTTCAAAATCAAATTAGAAATCTCAGTTTCCCAGACATATTCCTTAAGGTTTTCATACCACCAAAGAGAGTGTTTGCAAATTATTGGTTTTCAAGTTTGAGACCTGTTAAGTCTGCAGTTTTTCCATGAAATAAAACACATGAAATAAGACACATTCTGTCCATCAGGTAGCTCAGTGCGGTCCCAAAGGCAAGATATTGAATGCTCCAATTGTTTTTGAGGGAATTCCAATTCCAACTTAGTGACATACAAACAGAGACAAAAGAAAGAGGAGGAACGGTATGTGGTGAAGTAAGGACTTTTATTAGAAAGCAGATTTTTCTGTATTGCATTTAAAGAAATCAGGTACTCTTGGACTACACAATTGAAACTGGTGATGGCAAATACCATGATGGGAATGAAAGGTAGATTCTTATGCAACATCAAAAGTGGCAACTTGCATTTCTGTCGTATATATTATCGATGCTTGAGTCAGAAGGCGCATACACATTTTAACATTTTTCATTTGAAACATAAAGCAGTATCAACACTGATATTGTCCCATCCCAGTTTGCCTGGTCCAAGCCCTGTTGATAGTGAAGAACATTACCATGATCAAAGTGTAGGGTTGCATGATAAGATCCTTTTTTGTCGAATGGACTGTCCATTGAGAGGTCACCAATAAGCCCAGACTGAGGACCAAGTTCGGCCCACGCTTACCAGAGCATTACAGATATGGTCCATGTCAACATGGGACAGCTCTGTTCATGAAGCACCAAGGTATCAGTCAAATATCCGTCAGTCCTTGTTGCAGAGACACACACTTATAACCAAGAAGGCTGGAGTTAACATTACTATGTCGCCTCCACTCTGGAAAGTAAGCTAGCACAGACCAAAGCAAGCTGGAGAAAGACAAAGCAAACAGCAAGAGCACAGCAAGTCATGTCAGATCTCCCATAATGCACTTTGGGTCTCATCCCTACTCTGATTGTCAGCGCTCTGAACACATGGCTTTAAAAGTTGCGTTTTCTCCTCACTCGCCTAACTCCCGGTCACTCTGTTCTTATTTCTTTCACTTGACTAAGTAGTTGCTAAAGTGCTGGCATTATGTTCAAGGACACATACATACACACACAAACTTTTAGTGCATTTTTTCTGAGTCTGCTGAAGTTTTAAATGCACACTCAACTGGGTAGTTAGTCAATGTCGTCCACTCTTTATCACTACTTTGCCATCATTATCGTAATAGATGAAACCTTACCCAAACATTCAATAAAAGGCCAGGGTGTGTGATAAAAAGACAACCCTTCTTGTTGCAAGACTCCACAGTCTTTGTTTGCTAACAGTGACAATAGTTATTCAGCATAAAATACATGGTGCATAAAGATCAGAGGTTTCATTGGGTTAGAGTGAGTGTCTGAATGGCATGCATTTTATGATACAAGTGTCTCTTTGCATATAAATGTATTGTTTTCAGGATAAACCACTCAATGGAACAAAGACTACTGTGCCCATTAGTTTGACAGTAATGGGGGATGAACAGAGCACTATATAAGGTTTTAGAAAGTAAAGAACAATTTATTGGCAAATAAATGTGAAAATATGTTCTTTTCAACCAACAATCCCATCCGATCTCTTATTTTGTCATTTTCAATGATCCTCTATGTCAATGGCAAAAAAGTCTTTCACTGAATAAAAAAAAAAAAAATCTTAACTACAGAGTTTGCTGTGAAGGAAACTTTCAATCAAAGATATAGAAATACATAACATAACATACATTTAACAGGACCCTTTCTTTCAGCCACCACAAATAGAGCTCATCCTCCCAAGCCATGACATTCTGTGAGAGTTTCTCAGTTTACAGTATAGTGCAACATTCACGTTCAAATTCACCCTGGACAAGAAAAAAAAGACCCTAAGCAGAGGAGAAGCAACAACAAAAAAAAGATTTTCCTAAAAAGGTTGGGGTTTTTTTTATTGGCCAGGTCAGAGTCGGACACATTTTGTAGTAAAGCAATCAAACTTTGAACAAGCTGAAATGTGAATGCATCAGGGAAAATAAATGTAAAAAACTTTATGCATATGACACTGTTTTGTGAGGAAGACTATTCCAAAGGGAAGCTCCTCAAAAACAGGGTTGACTAGATATCATATATTTTTATATAGTTTTTTGGGTGGTCAGTCAATCATATAACTAGTGTGAGGATGTCAGTCCAGGGAATCCAAGTTGTTGCTGATTGGGTGCTGAATGCATCTTAGTGCAGTAAGTTATAAAATATTTCAACTTAATTGGGCTGGAGATGATGGCAATTCTTTTTATTACATTAGACTGAGCAAGGTTCTTGGGGGTCAATTTTGGCAGAATTATAACTTAAGTAAAGGAGGATCTACCGTTGCAGGTACTTTATCTTGTTCGTATCTAGACATAAAAGTCACATCACAACATCCACACCCACACAGTCACAGTCTAAGGCACTGCTCCAAACCCCTTTATCACTACAGTGGAGTATATCAATGTTTCCCACCCTATATTATTTACTGCTTTGTTTTAATTGGACTTTATATCATTGTTCCTCTAACTTAAAGTACTGGCCATGCACAATTCTGTCTATTCCAGAATAGATCTTAGTAAAATGAAAAGCATAGACTTATTGTGCATGAAAATACAATGACAGAAAAACAGAATGAACTTATGTTATACTTACTGCACGGTTTAACAGTGGAGTGCACAGGTTTCAGATTTTGGGCGGCAGGCTGATTGAGTTGCATGTTATTTTGTTATCTAAAACAATAACTGTAAATTTGGTTTTATTCCAAAATTATATGCGCATACATTTTGGGAAGACTGTTACCTTGGTTTACAAAATCAGAAGTGCAGGTGATCCTCTCAAAAGTCCAGTAATTAGGTAATGGCTCCAATAAACAACTCAATATCTTTATTTAATTTTTTTACAAGAGCAACTTTAGGAACTTAAGCTTCATAATTCATAATTTAAAAAACTATAAACAAATAGTTTGCTAAATATTGACGTATATATTTACAGAACAGTTCAGGATCTCTCAGTTTTGTGAACATTTCAACATTAGAGACATACATAACTGTCAAAGTATTTTAAAAAACGAGGAGCTTGCTGGGATAAGAATAGAATAAACAAATAAAGTAATAAAAGCTCAAACTCTGCTCAGTTTTCTGTATATTAGATAAATGCTCCCTGGTATTTACCACATTGGAAGACCTGTTCACATCAGTTTAAAAAATCACAAAGTCACCCAGCCTCACAGTCAAATTATTATTATAGTATGGCCCATATTTAAGTATACAATTGAGGAAAAAGTGAGCCATATAAAAAGTATTTGAGTATATTCAATCAAGGCTTGAACCCCTTCACCAAAGCAGTGCTACAGTTTACATTCATTCATCATCTCAGCCATTCTATCACGGCCCTGTTTTACCTATGGCAGATCACATTTCTTCCAAAAGAAAAAAAATAAAAAGATACTGTAAACGTCTTTATTATTAGCTAGTGCAATTATAACCCTGTGTTTCTTGTGCAGGGCCATTTTAAAGCTTCCCCTAAAAAGTCTGAAACCAGATACATACGTAGAACACAGACAAAGAATAACCTGGCCCTGGCCCAACCTTGTGGCACAGCACTGACGCATAAACAGACAGATTAAATATATCAGGGGCATATACTGTGTTTCTGCTTGGTTGTTAGTTTCTGCCATCAATTACTGCAGTGGAAAAAAAACTGATTCATTAGATTTTTCTTTCAAAAATGTTGGTGCCGTAAAATCTTTTTGGTTCGTTCCTTAATCTAAATTTGATGGTCGGAACTTGTGTTTAAAATGTGCTTCGACACTGATCAGGAAAACCCAGAAAACAGAGGAAAACATAACAGCATATCTCGTAAAATCAATGCACAAAACAACAAAGGAAGGCTATTTTGACTGATTCCCTATGCGTGGCAGAAAGCATGAAAACAGATATCAATTTAAAAAAAAAAAAAAGAAAAGAAAATTAGTATGACAAATTTTCTCCTTCCAAACCCACAATCCTCTAACTAAAACGACTTATCAGGTGAGGTGGAGGAAATTTTCAGTCTTTAGTACAGTCACATTTTGCCAAACTCCTTAGTTTCCCACCCTTTAACCTTTTTTTTTTTTTTTTTGTGTGCAAATGCAATAAGCCAGCAGAAATTGCTCTTATATGTTTATTCAATAATTTACCCCCCAACCCCCTAGGAAAAAAAAGGAAAAACAAAAAAAAGGATGGAAGCAGGACTATGTAGTCTTGGTGCCAATCACACCACCACATCAAGGTGAAACAGTGCTTCTCTCTGACATGTTTCCTTCTACCACTCAGTGTAGTGCTCTTCCTCTTACTACTCCATATAGTATCAGTCTCTTCTACCCGTGGTGACAGCACGCTCCGTAGTTAAAAAAGAAAATCCAAACGATACTGTGTCAAACACAGTCAATCCTGGGTCACACCCAGGTCAGTTCTAACATCTGTCAGACTGAGGTCAGATCCCAGTAAGAAATGGGATAATAAGTCCTTTTGTGTATTAATGGCATATGTCGAGGCAACAGTAGCTGTTTTCTTATTTATATGCAGGTTTGTGGTTTTGTTGTTGTTTTCAATAATTCTCTGTATCCATTGTTTGTATTCATGCACGCAAGCTGTTGTGTTCTTTTTCATGTCTCTCTCTGTATCTCCAAGACACAATGATGTAAAATGACAAAACTTTCAAAGTTAAAAAGCATTGTTACATTTATTTTTTTCGGGACTGTGTTTTTAATGCCTTGATGCAGATATTAAAGGCTAGTATCATAAGGGGAGAAATGTGCGCACATGTGTGAGTGTGTATCTGTATGTGTGTGGTTGGGAGGGGCGGTCTGGAGCAGACACAGGCATCACATTGACAATCTAATCCAATATGTCATGGGCAAATATGCATGAAAAAACAACTCCATGTGATTATTTGTTAGATTCTGGAGATGTCATTAGGTTTCGCAGAAAAACCTCTCCTCAACTTTATCATAAAAATGACGCGCTGTTTTAACAGAAAAGAAAACTGTTCTGTTGTGTAGTTGTAATGGTGGTTATACAGTACTTGACCGTTAACCATATTGTAGTCTTTGTTTTTGTTATATATTCATACATTATTTATCATACAACAATATGATGTAAAGTGGTCAAACACGGCAAAATAAGCTGCTTTCTAAGTGAGCTGTGTTTCTCTCATCTGTTTTTTCCCAAGGTTACATGGGTTATTTTCAGATGCAGCTTTCCAAGAAAACGGAATCATTTTACAAACCATTATACCACACTCCATAAACTGCCAGCAAAGCAGCTGTTAGTTTTTGTATTACACTGAAATGATGAATCATTACAGCCATTTGTTCTGCTATCAGGTCTTTGTAATATTGCTGCGGGTGCCGCAATACTGAGTAAATACGGAATATACGAAGAAAAGGGTGGAGCAGAAAGGACTGATTTTCTCAATGTGCTAATGCCATGCCTGTGTCTACTTCTACTATCGCTGTTCTACTTCCACTATCAGTAATTAGCGTGTACACAAGCACACGTGTGCACATGCATGTGTGACAAATTCCTGTATAGTAAGACCTACGAGCGCAGCTTTTTGTGCTGAATTATTCCTGTTGAGGAAGCACAGAGGAGAAGAAAGAGTGGTGGACGAGATGTTAGAGTAAGAGAGCAAGCAAAAGAAAATGCGGTGTTAAAAACAGATTTCACAATGTGAGAGGCAGCCCAAGGGACATTCACTGTCCGTTCACCCTAAGACCTTGTCCAAAACTTTCCACTTCCTGCTCAGGCGGCGTGTCACCACAATTGCCTGCCTCAGCTCCTGGGATCAAAGTTGGCGCCCCCAGTGATCCGTCTACACCCTCTAACCCAGCTTCATCCTCATCTTCCTCCTGTTCCTCGTGGGCTACTCCTTCACCTTCACCTTCAGCCTCTGCTCCAGCAGCCCCTGACCCAGGGCTGTCCTCTGTCAGCGGTGGGTGAGTCCTGAGAGGGTCCTTGCGATCTGGATACAACCTCTGCTCTAGGGTCTTGAAGTCAGGCTCGAAGGGTAGGGTTACCCCTGGTTGGGGAGCACCCAGCGCCAGGCCCAGACCCACAGCGGCACCCATGCCCATTCCTGCACGGTACACCTCCATGCCATCAGGCAGCATGGACTTGATCTTGGGCAACCATCGCTTGCGGACACGCCTCGCATTTGTGCACATGTCAGCAGCAATCACATTCATTTCACTTTCCTTGAAGTTAGGGTTGAAATTTTGACAGTAGACTGCAAAAGAGAGAAGACAACAAACCCCATGTTGATAAATTGTGCTTTTTAAAAATTGTATCACATATTGGCGATGATTTGGGAAATAAACCTACGTTTGACAGCGTTGAGGACCCTGCTGTCCAGGGGTTTCCTACTGGGGTCACTAGTTGAAGAACGGATACCTGTCCCACAGCTATTGGCTAAAGTGTTTCTGCAGGGATACAGAGTGAACACCAGGGGGCAGAGTCAGCAACAGGCACATACAGTAGATAAACATGGGAACACACACACAACTAACCGCATTGCACAACATGGCCACAGATGGAGTGTGAAAGTTGGTTTGTGACAACAGCGGTAGTGTTGGAGTCATACACAGAACTCAAATCTTACACTAGGCCCCTTAAAAACTAATACCACTGTTCTGCTTTGTTGTGCATGTCTTTATACTCACCTATCAAAGAACGTGGCTAGCAGACGGCGGAGCAAGACTTTGTGTTTGATACCAGCACATAGATGACAGTTCATCAGCTGGCCTCGAGTCATGAACACCTGTGTACCTGGTGTAGCATAAAAAAGGAAGATGTGCTGAGATAAAGCTCATAATACAATTCAATTTCCTGTTTTTGAAAACTCTGGGGGTTTGCCTTGTCTCCCTTTGGCCCAGTTACCAATTAATCTTTTATTCTTTGACTACATTTGAAATTCATGTTGAAGGAGATATTTAATGGACTTAAACAAAGCTGCAACTATTAAATTACTTGTTTTTTTTTAAAGAAATCAAATCTCTTTCATATTCATATTCATATATAATACATTGTATTCTGTATCTTACATGCTGACGAAAGAACTGAATTGTATGTTTCCATTTTGTTTGTAATTCAATTACATTTCAATCTGATTGAATCTGAGGACGTTTTTTGATTGATTACTGAACGCAACTTCCATATGTATGGGTCATCGCATTCAGTTGTGTGTGTCTGTAAAATGCACTGGAAAGTATTCAGACTCTCACAGATTCTTTTGTCTGAAAAGATTCAATACTAAATTGATTAAACTTTTTGCCATGCTCCATTGTAGGAATTGCATTAGGCACATGTTGAGCAGTACCTGGTCTCACTGAAAATGTCTGGTCTGACTGCCAAGAGCAATATCTGGCAGTCATACCAAAAAATCTTTTCCCTCATGCTCTCAGAGGCCTGTAAGGGCCATTTGGCAAACTCCTGGCAGGCTGTCATATGCTTTTTACTCCAGAGTGACTTCTGTCTAGTCACTCTACCATAAAGGCCTGATTGATGAGTACTGCAGAGATGGTTGTCCTTCTGCCACGGTCTTCAATCCCTGCAGAGAAAGTCTGCAGCTTTTTGCTGTCCTTTTCAGATCAACACAGTGATGAGGGCCAAAGCCGCTATGTTGCCAATCAAAGTGGTTGAACGTGCGTCCGATGCTACTGAATGGTGTTCAATTGAATATTCAATATCTAAAGATAATTTAACCACAATGTCTTAATTATATATGTATTTTCGAACTACAGTTGTAGACATTTACTTTCTGTAAAATGGTTTAACCTCTGGCAGCAGTCTCATATGGGTCAAACACAGGTTGAATACATGTGTCTCCTGCATAAAAAGGATTTTACTAAGGGTCAGTGGGTTGTGGGTAACCTCCCCAATCAATGGCCTCTTTGCCCGTTACTGACTTTAGGCATTTGGCAAGCTCTAGGAAAAGTCTTGATTTTAAAGGTTTTCTATTTTACAACGTTTGAGCCCTCTAAACTCCAGAATGTATTAGTCAAAATGAATCCAGTCAGTTATATTTAATTTTTTACCAACTATTCAATATTAAATCTAAATGTGCAAACGATATGATTACTTTACAAAATCACTGCATACAAGAAAATTCTCTGTATGTGTTCATGTGATAAAATGTGAGCAAGTAAATGTGTGTGAATGGAAGCATGTGTTTGTATGTGTGTGCCTACCAGCTACCAATTCCAGCTTCTCCCCAGGGTCCCCCTCAGAGTAGAGCTTAGGGTGGCAGCGGTAGCCTATCTGGCTGATGAGACTTGCAGGCAGTGCCACCAGGTCCCTGCGGATCAGCACACAGTTGCGGTTCTCCAAGGCCAAGGGCACCGCTGCCATCTCTGGCTTGTCCTGGACTGATGAAAGCAAACAAGAACAGAGTATAGAAAGCTTTAGAAAAACTAAAAAGGTATTGTGTTACACAGCTCAACTGAAACAGATAAATGTGCCTGCATCCATACATTCATCAGACTATAAACTACACAAACAGAGTTACGCTAGCTATCATCCATAACCTCTATTTAGATGGACCATACAGAATTTAATTTTTAAATCAGGTTGGTGTAATCTCATACACGTTTGTTGTTTTTCATAAATGTTTTAGAGCATTGCAGATGTATCCCAGATAAGTCACGATGCTGCATCAGCAACTTGAGTTTAAGAGGGGGACAGATCCAAAGCTGGGTGTTAGGTTCTTACTCACAAAATTGTTTCCCCTAACCTCTGAGATGACTTGGGAGTGTATGCACATGCACGCACCACCTTTGCACACACATGCAAACATGCGCACTTGGAGACACACACACACACACAACAGGAGAAATTAATCCATTAATTGCCGCACACACAAAGGCACATAGTGTATACAAAAAAGTGTGGATTAATCTATTTGCATGTGCATTCACACTCCCTACACACACACATACACACACAGGAAAGACGTGCATGGATCTCAAATATCCCACAATGTCACCCTGGGGTGCTCTGACTGATTGCAGATAGAGTGGATTTCATAAATATCTGAAACTCTAGAATTTGACAAACCTGTGTGATGCCTTTGAGCTGCAGGATGCTCAGAATGATGGAAAGAGTGTATGTGTGTGTGCACATGTGACTTTGACCATTGGTGTCCAGTCTGTGTGATTATGTGTGAATGCAAACACAAGTTAAACTGTGCCTGCATGTGTAGGCATATTTGCACTAGTATGAAAGTGTGATAGAAAACCATAACAAAAAGCAGTACAGACCAGCTGTTGTGGCTGTGATAAGAAGTGTGTTGTTGGTCACGATGCACTCCAATCACAACTCCATAAAGCTATCTTTATGCTGAGAGAACCCACACACACACTGGAGGCACCAACATCCTGCTTTTTCAAGATGCGCAGGATACATGATTTATGAAAGATTAAATAATGTAACTGGGATAAAATGAATGTGCATCAGTTTTTGCACAATACATAACAAGCCTGGACAAGGAGCAACTATGTTCCAAAAACCCTGCATTTATGGTTATATATATTTCTGCAAGTCATGCCGACTTTTACTTTTAGATCAGTCTGATATCAAATGAATTTCCTCCATCTGAGCCAAGGGCAATTGAGAAAGTAATTCACTTACTCAGATCTTACATGGCTAGAAAGATAAAATTGATGCAGGTTTGCCTTTGAGATCGTCTTGTTAGCATTTGCTCATTTTACCAGTTTTTCCTTTAAACTACTTTAATTTAACCAGAGTTAGGAAGTAAATAGTGTTAGTTGCTGTAGTGGAATAAGATATTTTTGAGTATGTTGTAAGATAAAAATGAAACATTAGTTTTTGTCTATAACAGGGAACATGCTGTATTTTTAGATGTTCATAATGATGAAAGATTCCAGAGTAAAGCTTCAGGCATGAGTGCTCTCCACCAAATACAGTAATGGTGTTTGAAATACACCTAAGCACTGTAACACCTCACACAGATCTTACAAAAGCATCAATATAACACAATACTCACTCCCATAGGGGTTAGCTGAACGCCCATAGAGATGACTGTAAGCATCCTCTGTGATCCCATCATAGGGCTCTTCCTCAAACTCCTCATCCTCATTCTGGTAGGATGTAGGACTGTCAGTGGTTGGCAGGCTGGACGCTCCAGGACTGGACCTTTCAACTCCTCCTCCTGCTCCACCACCACTGGCCCCTTGAAGGTGGTAAGAAGGCATACCAGGGATGGGGGTCCCGCCAGCCGTTGAGTAGAACAGTGAACTGGCCCTCGCCAGCCGACTCCCCAACTCCGAAGACGAAATCTTGCTTTGTGTCGAGGGTATTGTCAAGGGCGTCGGGTCACCGCCTTCCAGTTTAATCTTACGCTGCGGCATGAGTAGGGAAGGAGACCAGCCTGGGGTTCCCAAAAGGGCAGCCACCGCTAGTCCGTTACCATTATTACAAGGACTCTGCGGCTCAGATCCCGTTTCCTCTAAAGACCCTGCTGTTTGCGAGTCACAGTGAGGTGAGTTTGCCTTGAACATTAGGTCCATGCCTTTTTCAACTATATGCTGAATTTGGAGGTAGCCAGCTGTGTACATGACCACTAGCTGTTCACTAGCTGCCATTGTTAGCTTCCCTGTATAGCAGAAAGTGAGGATCTGCTCAAAGCAAGCAGGTGTGACTGAGGAGGGCAACTCAAACTGGGTCTTGGTGGAGCTGCTGAAGAGGTCACGAAAATAGAGGCTGCTGGCAGCCAAAACGGCCCGGTGGGCTTTGAAAGCCTGACCTGGATGATAGAAATAACAGAGAACAGAAAAAAAAGTTGAGAATATTGATAAAGAATTCTTGTTTGATTTCAAAGTTCTGTAGTTTAAATTAAACCAACCTTTGACCAGGATGGATACATCGCAGTAGTGTCCCAGCAGGCGCTGCTCATTGAGGGAGCCCAGAACTGTGGCTCCAAAGTTTGGGATCTCCACATGGAGCAGCTGGGACATGTTGGCCAAAAAGGAAGATGGGGTTTCAGATATTCACTGTAGACTCTGCCACTGAGAGAGGCATCTGTAAAAAAAAAAACGCGTTAGAGAAGAGGAGTGAATAGAAAATGCGTGAAAGATGAAAAGACATGCCACAGGGAGGTAGAGGCGAGAAGGGAAAATTGAGAGAACCTTAAAGGAGGCACAGAACAAGATTGAAAATAGAGTTGAGATAAAGTGAGAACATGAATACAGTTGAGGGAGAAGTGAGAGGTGTGTGAAAGAGAGATGGATATGTGGAGATAGTGGGTGAGAGTAGAGAGAGAAAGGAGGAGTCAAGACAGTCCAAAAAGAAAAGAAAAGAAAAGAATACAATGCCCTGCCTACTGTACATGGGAACATTGTGAAATACCTTAAGGCTATGTTGTTTTACTTGACTTAAATTCCAAGAACCTTGCACTAATTCCATGTGTTGCACTGTAATGCATCAAAACAATTCTCCTGCGGTACGGACTTGGAATACCTATAAGTCAGCCTTGACAACTTTTCTCAGAACCACACTGAAAAGAGACAGTTTTTTATTGTCACAGTTTAGAGATACTCCATGATTTTGCTGACTTTACACCTTTGTCAGCATTGGCCCTCTTTCCAAACTCTGGCTAGAAAAAAAAACAACTCATGTCATACACACAATTTCATATGAACTTTAACAGCTCCCTTTTCTTCCTCTCAGTAACATTCCCCCGGCATATTTGCTCCTTCTTACGACCCTGAACCTTGTGTCATTGTTTTTTTCTTTCTCCACCAACCCACACACACACACACACATACATATACACACTAGTTTCATTATTAAGCAATGCTGCAGAACAGTTTCCAGGAATACAAACTGAAAAAAAATGTCACCGCCTCTCTTACACACACTCTCTCTCTTTCTCTCCCACTTCATGCTCTCCATACAGACAGACATGCACTCTGGCTTACTTATGTAAAAGTGCACACACACACACACACACACACACACACACACACACACACAGCGTATACAGTACAGGCTGCATAAGGAAATACTGTGTACTCTGTCTGGCACGCAAGCTCTCACCTGGAGAAACCAGCACACGACTTTCCTCTGCTAACAGTCTCTCACACATGCACAAATACAGAAAAAAAGCGCTCACTGTTATCCCAGACAGTTCTGACCTGTGTAAGCCAGTCTTCTGGTTAAAAACACACCATGGAGTCTTGGGCACACACAAACACACCAGCAGCAGTCAGGACCAGGACAGAAGAGGAGTAGTTATAGATGAGGGAGAGCACTCTGATGTACTCCGTCTGGTCGACTCTCTCTTTCACTTAAAGTGTCATTCCCACTGTCTCAAAGATGATCCTCTTTGCTGTCTGACTTTTCTCTGTCTGTCTTCACCCAGCCTTCTTCTTCTTCTATCTCTATATCCTCCAAAGCCCCATTCTCTCTGCTCACTGTCTCTTCTACCGCTGTCTCAAAGCCTCCCTCTGCCTCCCTGTCATTATCTCTCTCTGTTTCTCTCCCCTCTCTCTATTCTCCAAGGGTTGAATTCAACAAGTGCCGCTGTAGAGAGAGAGAGAGAGAGAGAGGGAGGAAGAGAATGGGGAGAGAGAAAGAAAGCAGAGCAGAGCAGAGCGAATCAATGATGAAAGGAGTGGGAGGCTCAGTGTGTGTGTGTGTGTGTGCATGTGTCTGCGCGCGTGTGTCTGATCAATGCAGTATCTATACGTCGCAGGGAGTGGGAGGGAGAGAAAAACACAGGCTACAGTTACAGACGGAGACAGAGACTGGGCAGAGCTAGAGAGAAGCAGAGGAGGGAGGGAGGGAGGGGAGAGTTGAGACAGAGAGAAAGTCATTTGAGGACAGTACGAGTAGAGAAAGACAATTAGGTTGAAGCAACTTCTGCCACTTGCCCCTGGACACAGATGCCTATATGGTCTACCAGAAAGAGAAGGAGAATGACTAAGACAAAGAGAAATGAGAAAAGCTTACAGAGGTCATAGGCACCGTTAATTAATTGGACATCGAATAGTGAAACTTCTGAATTCCCTGTTTGACGCAAGTCTGGGGAGAATGCGTCACATCTTGGTAAAGCAGACCTTTACTAACCTGGAAGCTTCAATATACACAATGCTGTAATCCTCTAATCACTCCAATTGTAGAATTAAAAAGGTCAATCAAAAGCGCAGTCATTTAAAGGTATTCCCCATTTTCTTACAATCTGTGGAAGACAATAGGTAAAAAAAAAAAAAAAGGTTTTACTTTTTGAGCAAGTGTTGTGTGTTTTCTCTGAATCATGCAAAGACCTCTCTGCCAAACACCTACACACAAGCGAAGAGAAGTTCTGTCTTCACGCAAGACTATTTTGTATTTTCTACATGAATTCATAAATTAAATGATTAATTTACGCCTCCACTGTGGTGGCTCAGCTTATTCAGGTGACATTTCGGTATTTTCTGTTTTTGACCAGCACATGGAATGCCTCCCTAAATGCTGCTTGATGCGGATGAGGGAGGACAGGAGCCAGATGTCACAGCCTGTGACAGGCAAGAAAAGATAAAAGACAACATTGAACAGAGAAGATAACTTCCAGAAAGATGTGTGTGGGAGGATAAGAACGCAAAATTACTGTGACACAAGAGTAAGTGCATTTTTACAGTATGTGGATGCACACCAGTGTAAATGTTGTCTTATTCTTGCATGTCAGAGCAAGCGGGAAACTCTCCGACCTCTGTGCTGCATTTTGGTCGGAGGGAGATGAAGACGGTTCAGTAAATGATTTTTCAAAATCTTTTCACCTCACAATACGCAATCTGTTAAAGAAATACATTTAAAAAAGCTGATGCAGATCATTTTTATATCTAAGCATGTCCCCAGAAAGCATCTAGACACATTGCGCTTCAATTTTGTTGCCAAAGAAACCTCAAGTGGAGAAAGTTGTGCTAAACTGAGCAAACTTTTACTCTTCAGTCACAGCGGAAATATGAAAGGGAGGATATCACAAAGCGCTGAATACAGTGAGTCAGAGTTTGGTTTAGAGAGCTTTGCCCCAGCAGTGTGATATCTGCACGGCACATATAGGCACACATGAGTGAGCACACACAAAAAGCACAGTCAAACGCAGGAGACACAAATCCGCAAACACACTAATGCAAACAGACATATACACACTCCCCCTGTTCTCTTACACACACGCCAACACACAGTCAGGTAATCTCCCTGTGCAGACTCAGCAATACACATTCTATTTGTTTGTCTGTCTGTCTGTCCCCCTGTGAACTGGGCACACTGCTCGCCATCGGTCCGTCTATCAGTTATTGTGATTATTGTGTCCTTACATCGCCTCTTGCTTCTCCCCTCTCCCCTTTCTCTATCCTTCCCGCCCTGCATACCACATACCCACTGTCTCTCTGCCAATTAATGCACACAGGGCTGCATTGCAGTGAGGTTGGCGCGTGCCACGGCAGCAAGCACAGTACAGAGTCTACAGACATGCATGTACGTGCCAGCCGGGCAGAGGGAGAGGGAGAGGAGGAGGAGGAGGAGGAGGAGGAGGGGGGTGAGGGAAAAAGAGGAAGAGGGAGGGGAGAGAAAGAGCAAAGGAGAGTGAACGGAGAATATGTTGAGTCAGGCAGACAGGACGGCGGTGTGCCACACTGCACATATACACAGACACACAGCCGCATGTAAATGTATGCACGAATGAATAAGAAACAAACATGCATGTACATGTACATTATGGGGGTATGTGGACGCACACATTCACACACGTATAAAAGTGCACATATACACACACACACACACACACACATAAACATTCACATGGAAATTGCTGCCTCCTCCTGCCTGCATTAAATATAGACTTTGCATATCCCCGATAAAAAAATATACGGTATGAACTCCCTCAACTTGTTTGCCTAACGAGCGATTGTGTGTGTGTGTGTGTGTGTGCGTGTCTCTCTGCTGCTTGTGTCCTCATTTCCTTCTACAGTATGTGTGTTTGCATTTCCATGTCAAAGTTTCTCGCATACCAAGGCGTGTTTTTATAATCATCGTTATATACCCGGCTGTGACTTTTGGCACTGTATGTCAGGCATGTGTGCGTATGTGTGCGTGCGTGCGCCGGCACAGTTTGTGAGTTGATATATGAGATTTCAATGCTGTTCTGATTGCTGTTGTCTGCTTTGTTGGAATGTGTTACATCCATTTTAATCAAAGATTCATACCTACGCACAGTGTTATTAACAGTAGCAGCAGGTCCAGGCATATTTGAATAATATGAAGAAATGAGACGATTCGCCAGATGGCACACACACATGCACACACACAGATTTAATTACTAGTTATGCTGTAGCTACCTACCAAATGACAATAGGGTAACATTCAAACATAAAACCATAAAAGTCATACACAATTATGAGTCATGCATTTGCCATTTAGTACTTTATGGAATAGTTCAAGTAAGTTCATTCTGGAAGTTAAGTTGGTGTTAACTTTTATTCAATATGCAGGTGACAAAAGCCTAACTAATCTAAACATATATTAAGTACAGAAAATAAAGATAAGTAATAAGATCAGTTAATATCTCAGTAAAAGTACAGCGATCCACAAAAAAAAGGTAACAAAAAGAAATTTTTGAAGTGAGCTGAATAGGAACAGCTCCTTCCCCTCTCGCTTATGTTGCCTCTATACAATCTCAATATGAACAGTCCCCTCGTTATAAATATTCAGATCCTGCAGTTGTTCTCATGTCTAAAGTGTACCAGACAACAGATTCTATCCACGTTGAGACGGCAACGCTCCCTGGCAACAGTTCTACCAATCGGGACCGAGCGGGTGTCTGCCTGAGTCTGTCTGAGTATCATTATGGGATGTCGAGAGAGCGAGAGAGAAAGAGTGAGAGAGGCTGCTTATCACTGCTTATAATGCAACATCATTCTCTGTGTATAGACCCCGCTGGGTGAAGTTGTCTGCACATAGTCAGGATCAAAATCATCTTTTCTTAAAAAAATAAAAAAATAAAATCTCCCAATGATTCATACAGTTATGTAACAAACAGACAACTATGAAATGAATTGTTGTGGGCTGAATATTGTCTGGTATCTTTCCACTTGTATTCACTCAATATGCACCAATAATGTAACTCGTGGACTGACTATGAGAAAAAAAAAAAGGCTAAAATTCAGGTTTAACTAATGGCACAATGCTGCGGCTGTGGCAATACAAAAATGACTGTGAATATAAAGTCAGGTAGAAAATCACAGGCTGGATGATGTGACCTTAAACCCGCATCAAAATAATTGTCACAATTGGTTAAAAAATATTACGTTTAACAGTTAATACATCAGTGCCTAATAATTCATTTCTTGTGCTGGCTGACTTCTGATTTGCTTCTCCTGATTAATACACTATGTCCGCTAAAGAGTTTTCTGGACCTTTGGACTAGACTGTAAGCTAATTGATTTGTTGATTTCATATATGCAACATTACCATAAAAAATGAATCTGAAGTTGCCTGTTAGCTTGTCACTTAAAACGACTATAATCAATATTTTGATAATGGATCCAATACGTGTAATGTGAATGTTGCCCGTTGTGACAAACCCATAGAGAATTACACCCGGCTCTACAGTTCCTCTTAGCTGTATGGAGCTTTATAGCGTCTTTTAGCACTCGTTTTGTTTTTTCGGCCCACGACTTAAATGTTTTGGCCACAGCAAGCGGCTACATTCTGCAAAAAATATTCGATAAACCCACTGTAACCCACCTGCCCAGCACCAAAAAGAAGACAGACAAAGCTCGCGTCTAGCTGGTGAACATATTGTGCAGCCTTTAGCAGCCAAAGAACAAGATATTTTGTAGCAGTTGGTGCAGACCAAAAACAGAGCTATAAGGGGAGTGAATAGTGGACTTGTATTCACCAGGTGGCCGGAGACACAAGTCATGATGAATGCTAATTTTACTCAGAATCTGCTAAACGGCATGCTAACTAGTTAGCCTTGAAAGGTGATACTATTTCAGGGTTGCGTTCACAGCTTGTTTCTGGCCCTACATACTATATTATTATTACCTGCTGCTCCTGTAATTCATGGTCATCATCTATTTCCCCTAAAATCAAACATTCAAAGGCTTAATTGTCATTTAACATAACATCCATCCATCATTTTTCTAGCGCAGGTGTGCATGTATTAACAAATGGGCTATACATATGTAAATGGATGGCAGCTTTGTGGTTGAAGACAGCACTGCAGCAAGTTACCTTATCACCTCTTACTGCACATAAAACTCTGACATTTCACAGTGGTTGGGGACTGTATCAGACACAAAGTTGTGACAGAAAACTCCTGTAACAGTGGGCTACCTGTCAGTTTAGTTTGTCATTGTGGCGGAAAAAAGAAAAAACAGACAGTGGGAAAGACAGCGGAAGAGCATGTATGTGCGTGTGCATGTGCTTTTCCGAGTGTGTTTGTGTGTGTGAGTGATCCTCCTGAGGCAAAGGCATTGCTAATGAACTCCAAGTGGCTGTGGGAGGTAAACAAACAAACACTAGCAGCGGCTACTACA